GATACACCTTGATATTTTACAAGTGACACTAGAACCTTGCTTCTAATGTTGATCTCACGAGGTATCTAATTTGTCTTTATTTTTCAAGTGGTATCTAGCAAATCATGGTGCTAAGGATGGTGTTCAAATGACAACTCTAATTTGTATCACGCTTCAAAGGTCTATTCTTTACACCTTAGCATCATTTGGTAGCTATTACTCTCTCAAACTTCCAATCCATGCATATGTGCAAGCTTTCTAATCTAAACTCTTAGCACATATGTAGGGGAAGCTAATACTACCAACTTGGGTTGATGAAACTTGTCTATAACCTTTACACATGGTAATATGCTTGGGCAAGCAACATGAATCCAAAAAAGTTTCATTGAATATCTTTGTAAATAGGTTGTCATCAATTACCAAAAAGGGTGAGATTGAAAGCCCTAATTTTGTTTTGGATAATTCATGAAACCTAGCACTAACCTTTGTCATAAGTTGTGATATGAGCTAGGTTGGTGCAATGGTGATGATCACATGAAATGATGAGATGACCACACGTGATGATGATCAATTGCTCAACTTGGAAAAGAAGAAAGAGAAAAACAAAACCCTATGGAGATCAAGGCAAAGGTATAAATAGGGGTTTTGTTTCGGTGATCAAGACACTATAGAGAGTGTGATCACATTTAGGGTAGATGGCCGTACTATTAAGAGGGGTTCTTAACTAGACAATTTAGTCATCTAGTGCCACTAGGTATTGGACTTCATGCATTGCATATAGGCCTAGTGCACATCAGAGAGCAAGAAAAAATATTTATCAAAAATGATTTGAGAAATGCTAACTTGGCTCTAACATGTTTTGAGAAAACACTTTGAGAGTTAGCATCGCTTGTGAAAAGTTGCTCAAAGTTGCCATGGAACGAAACGTGAAAAAGTTTGCAACTTAGGGATGGGTTTGGTGCCTGGGTGGCACCGCCACCCCTAGTCCGATGCACCGTCGCCCCTGTGGCAGTGCCTGGCTAACCTGGTTCTGAGCGCGAGCATCGGAGTGGTGACCGGACACAGCGGCGTGCACCACCATGTGTGTGACGGTGCACCGTCGATGGCTGTTCGATGCCACCACCGCTTTTTAACCGAGGCTGGGTTTGCTGGAGTTAAGGCCAAGGGGGCACCGTCTTGGTCACCGTCGTGGGTGGCGGTGCACCGCCCTATTTATCCAGAGAGAAGGGAAAATGGGGACTCGGCTAGGGTAGCACCACCACCACCTGTCTAGTGCCACCGTCACCCTGTCCGGTGACCTACTAGCCATTGGTCGACCGTTGGAATTCGACCATTGAGGGCACCATCACCCCTTGTCCGATGACTGCACTGCCCTATCCGGTGCCCTCGTAAAAAGTAGCTTCAAGGGGTAACGACTCTATTTACTTTTGTGGCTAGCTATAAATAGAGGGTGTGGACAGCCTTGGCCACTCTCTTGGCACCTCTTATACATGTGCACACCCATTGGAAGCTGAGCAACATACTCCACTCACTTGTTCACTTGATTTCATCATCTTGGGTGAGATTGTAGAGCCTCTAGTGCATTGCATTGAGTTGCATCATCTTGTGCACTAGTTGGGTGATTTGGGCTGGTTGTGAGCTTGTTACTCTTGGTGTTTGCCAACACCTAGATGGTCGGGTGATTGGACGATCGTTGAGCAGAGTTGGTGATTGTCTCCGGCCTCGATCGGTTGCTTGTGCAGGTTCTTGACCTTCTCCCAGCGAAGAGCCAAAAGGTACTCTATTGGATTGCGCGTGTCATTGAGCTACCTCACTTGTGGGTAGGTTCTTACGGTGTCCAATTGTCTGGATGAGGTTCGTGCAACACCTCTTAGCCATCGAACCACTAAGTGTTGGTCTACACAACGGGGACTAGCGTGCCGGCAAGCACGTGAACCTCGGGAGAAAAATCTTGTGTCTCTTGTGTGCTTGGATTTCTCCCGGTGATTGGATGTCTCCACTTTGTGATTGGTTCATTCCTCGACTCGATGGTATAATCACCCTACTCACTCTTTTACATTCCTTGAAAACTAGTTGTCAAGCTCTTTAGTGTAATTAGTCTTTGAGAGCTTGTTAATTTGGTTAGTGTGGCTCTTTAGTTAGTCGTTGAGAGCACACTAGCTTAGTGAGTAGTGATCTAGCTTGTTGTGTGTGCTAGTGATCATAGCAACTAGAATTGTTGGGATAGGTGGTTTGCAACCCTTGTAGAGCTAGAGCAAAATTGCATTACGCCGTTTGTCATACTAATCAATTGCTCTAGTGCTCTTGTAGATTTTTAAATAGGCTATTCATCCCCTCTCTAGCCAAATTAGGACCTTTCACCGTCGAAGCTCTTGATCGGGAGAGACCTCGTGGGTGCAAGGACGTCACCGGATTGCCCTAGGTAGGCGAGCAAGCCTAGGATGCCATCCTTTGGTTGTCGATCAAGCGATCAACAACAAACATGGGGTTGAAAAGAGGGCAAAAAGAGTACTAGATGTAAAAAGAGTGATTGGATGTTGGATGATCTCAATCGGCCTTGATCCTCTCTCGTATATAGAGGGGATGGTCTTATCCTAATAGAAAATAAGTCCAGATTTGGAAACCAAATCGGTTTGGATTAGGAAAGAAAAATCAGTCTGGCTGGTCCCAAACCAGCCTAGCCGGTTTCCACGTGGGCTGGGTAGCCACACAGGCTATAAAACTGGCCTGGCCGGTTCAAACCTGGCAGGTTCTGAAACCGGCCTTGCAGGTTTTGCTGCGAGCCTAGCGCAGAAAATCTTCCGAAAATTGTATCTAATTCTTACGAACTCCAAACGAGGCAGTATATATATATGTTTTTTGATTAACTCGACAAGAGAAACACAATGGTGTAGTCCAATCTTGCATTTGAGAAACTTGGAAAAACTGGCCTAGCCGGTTCCGGCTAGGTCAACCTCCCGAAACGTCGTTTCCTTCGTCCGGGCTCCAAATGGATGATCCAAATATGCTCGCTGACTATCTCGATGATATAAACATGATGGCGAAGTCCATTATATACTTCGGCCACTTTTGGTTGTCAACAAATAGAGTACTAGAAAACAAATCAACTATTATGTGTTTGACACTTACCCTTTGAGGGATCGCCGGCCTTGGCCTCACGTGACTTTACCGCTTACCCTAGCCTCATTGTAGATCGAGCGACTTGGCTCGTTGCTAGTTTCGTCGTTCGGCGCCCCATGCCCGTCAATGGGCTTGGTAGCGAGCTTCTTGGGCTTAGGCTACATGTCGCGATAGCCGTGGTGGTCTGCTTGCCCATGCTAGAGATCGTTGGCGGACCCGTCGCGCGTGCCCATTGCTCTCGATCCCCTGGTTCAGAGCGGCCACGTGTCATCACCGGCTGGACTCGAACTCCCGGAGATGTGGGCCGAGGAGCCTCTAGGCCCTTCGTTTGGCCGATTTTGTCGCCAAGTGGGCGGTTTCTCCACGCGCACCCTTCCGTTGCCGCTTGATGTAGTCTTTTGATATTCCTCTGTCATTGCACTGGTAGAGAGAGTCAGCGGCGCTTCGGTGCACTGTGCTCCGCGTGGTGCGAACCATCATGCCACACGGCGACGATTCAAGGGGTGAACCACCATAGCATTTTGAATGTGCGGATTCGAGCCATCGGTCCGGCATGTAGGGTTCAAGAGGAGTGTGGCTCCTCGATTCCAGCGCGTGGTGGTTTCGCCGCGTGGTGGAGTGGGACGTGGCTGCTCAGGGGTCTCATGTGTCCCGTAGCCGTCCCTGTGCCTGATTCATAGAGTAAGGGGGCGTTGGCTCCCAAGGCCAGTGGACCTATAGGTAGATCCTCCATTGGTGGCTGATTGGCCGACCATCATCGTCTCGTGTCCCTCCACTCCAGGTTATAAATTGTCCTTTAGCGAGGGCGGCTGGAAGGCACTCCACACAGACTTCACTCAATCTCCACCACCATGATAGTAAACTAGCTATAGTGAAGCAGAAATTACCATGTCAAAGGTACATAGTGCTTTATGCTTTTTTTTGAAACAATTCCCCTCTTTTTTGAAGAAAATTGTAGTGCCCTTAAGGAAGAAAAATCTACCTCCTCTTGAAACCATTGTAGCAACAATAATATTACTTTTGTACGTATAAACATTACTCTACCAATTTAGGCTCTCTGTCTCTCTCAATGGTCCAAAAGAAAAACTCCATTTCTTCTCGAAATGAAAAATAAGAAGCCTTCAACAAACTACTACAAAAAACAATTAAACCACACCATCCATAACGGGTAATTCAACTACAGCAAATTAACAAACTATGCTTAATTAGAAATTCCAACATGAGATTTCAAACAGCATAAAATGCTCACATACACATCTACAGAAATTTGTATTCCATTTCCCATCATTATTTTCCACTTGAAACAAAAAAAAAACTTTGAATACCTTTAAATACTGTTGCTATTCTCCTCCTTTTTAGGAAAAAAAGGTTAACTCACTTCTTAAAATCTGATAACTTCAGAAGTGGAATCACAGTAGCATCAACAGTGTTGCTCTTATTAAGTTAAAAGTTACTCGATTACTGATTTAAGCTTGTCTTAACTGTGTGAGAACAAATGTTTTGCCTCATCGAAATGGAAAACTAATGAAGTCTTGAACTAACAACCAGAACAAGCACTTGAAGTAACCATCGGTAACCATGGGATGGGATTCAACTATCACCACTTCAGAAACTAATTCACATGAGGTGCAAACATCTCAATGGAAAGAAGACAATTTCGATATAGACATTTATAAATTAAAATATTTGAAAGATCTTAATTATTGCTTCTCTGACTGTTCCTAAAACTGACTGAAAAAGTTGATGAAACATGAAACCGAGTCTTGAACTTGCTACCCCATCCCACATCTAAAAGCTGGGATTTTTGAAGTTTGCCCTCTTTATTAACCCACATCTACCATGCAGCCCTACTAGTAGTGGCAGCTTACAGCAGCAGTCACCGAAGCTGCAGAAGCGGAATTCTAGAAGGCACCTCGCAGGCGCAGCTTGGCGGTGGCGCCCCCCGGCTGCTTCTGGAGCATAAGCAGGTCGTCGCAGTCGAACCCGCAGCCGCAGGTGGGGCTCTCGAGGAAGTTGTCAACCCCGAAGTCGGCGGAGACGATGCCGATGGAGAACTCGAGGTTGTCGCCGCTGCGGGTGACCTCGACGATGTTGAGCCAGAAGAGGAGGACCTTGACGGAGACGCCCTCGAGGTCGGTGAGGTGGTCGGTGGCGATCGTGCCGCTGATCTCGGTCTTGTAGCGGAGAGTGTAGGATCCCTGGATGGAGAACTCGCAGGAGGAGGATCCATTGAGCGTGGCCGTGAAGGCGCCCGTGGCGTTGTCGAGCGTGTAGGAGACCACGCCCTTGGGGAGGATCCCCGGTGGGAAGTCGTAGTCGGCGAGGACTTCGTACGCCGTCGGCTTAGCGAAGGCGGTGCCGCTCGCCGCAGCGCGCGGCGGCGACGGCGAGGAGGAGGAGGAGGCGGTGGGCGAGCATAGCTGATTGGGGAGGAGAGCAGTGGAGTGGAGTGCGGCTTCGGTTTGGTTTGATGAACAAGGGAAGGAGACGGATGGCTTTTATTGTGCTCTGCTGCAGTGTGCTCTGTGCTGGTTTGAACGCCGGGTCCTACACCGTCCGGCTCCCAAGCAAACGTGTCCTTAATCAACCAATAGGAAATAAAGTGTAATGGCCAATGCTTTTAGTTTCTTTCAATCCTTTACTATGACATAGCCAGTAGGATTTTATGAAAAAGACCTTTGATTACTTTTTTTAATTTAAGGGTCATTAACAATAACAATCGCATGACACTAAAAAAATAACAGCCAACCTATAAGAAACTAAGTGGTTTTTACTAAGAAGAAAATATGTATCTTGATCTAAATTTGAGTTGATGGGGAGTCGAAACTAGGTGGTTGGAACCTGGATACTCAACCACACCTTCTAGTTGAACTAGACTCACTAATCATGTCTGCATAAACTTAATTTGATTCTCCGTAGTAATCGAGCACAAACTTAGATCCCTATTTTAGATATTCTTGCTCCTATTTTGGACAAGGTTATTGCTCAAAGAATCATTGTGTGCAAACATGAATTCAAATCAAGTACTACGTGCACCCATTGACCCTATGAAGAAAGAGGCCATGAGAGAGAGACGGTAACTGCTGCTTGGCTTCACTGTGCTTACTATATATATACGACGCAGCAGCTAGTTTTAATTGTTATGTCCCACACGGACCTGTCAATCAGCATGGACAAACTGTAATTTGGATGGGTTAAGCTTGGGAGTGTCATCCCAACGCAAGCGCTCGCAATGGTCGAAGGCTCTTTTCATGGCCTAAACCACCGGTGACAGTTTGGAGGATGAACGCTTGTGCAAGCAAAGGTTAGTAGGAAGAGGCATCCCCCTGCTTCCCTGTGCAAGCGCAAAAATATTCCTTCTCCCTTGATCACCTGCACAAGCCGGTCCTGCCCCTCGCATGGAAGGAAATGAACTCAGCAAACACCTGCACATGTGTAGTAGTTGTGACGAGCGGCCCGCGTATGCCAGCTCCGTCCAGCCGTCCAGTAGTTGAGACGAGCGGCGAGTCTGGAGCCGCGACGACGCCCTCTGACTGCCTCCACATCTGCCGCTCCCGTGTACGAATGCACGGTAGAAATAGATGTTGAAAGGCTCCTGCTGTTGCACTGCTGCAGGGTAGCTGTTGAAAGGCTCTCACGTGGCTCTGTAGCTACAGTAGAGGCAGGCGTCAAAGTTAGTCATGCTGTCACATTTAGTTATTGTATCAATATAGCAGCCTGATATGTTTGTGTACTAGTATTAGATGGATAGAGTTGTATATATAGCTTCTCATTGCAACTCAGTAAAGAGAGCGAGTTCAGTTTTGCCATCTCCTCTGTAGAGCTCCGGCCAACGCTGGTGCTTGTGCTGTGTGTGCTCTGTTCTCCCTCCCTTCTTCTATCTCTAGCCATAGTGTGTGGTCGGCAGCGCTGGTGAGTGATCGGCTCACCCGTTCCGAAGATTCAGGGGCCAACAAGTGGTATCAGAGCCGTACAAGTGCCATCGTCGGACTAACCGCTGGCGATGACGGACGGTTTGAAGATGGGCGAGAGCAGCGGCGCTGCTGTGGCTGCCCAGCCACGATAGGAGGTCGTTGTGCGCACGGTACAAGAGGTCAGCGGCACCAGTTGACCGACGCTGACTCGCACCAACTATGACGAGTGGACGGCGACCATGAAGGTCAAGCTCAGAGCCCGACGGCTCTGGAATGCTATTGACAAGGGTATTGACAACGAAGAAGACGACATGTTAGCGTTGGAGGCTATCATCGCTGCTGTGCCAGTGGAGTACAGGGAGCCGTTGGGGGCGAAGAGCAAAGAAGGCGACGGCCCAGCTGTTGAAGCAGGAGTACGCCACCCTCAAGTTCAAGGATGGTGAATTGGTGAAGGACTTCTCCCTCCGCCTGCAGACGCTCATCAGCAAGCTGAGGAGCCACGGCGTCACAATCGACGAAGAAGAGGCGGTCTCCAAGTACCTCCACTCCATGCCGATAAAGTATATCCAGATCGCTCTTTTTATAGAGACGATGCTGGACTTGTCCACCCTCACCATTGAGGATGTGACAGACCATCTGCGGGCGGTGGATGAGCGCATGGAGTAGGCCACAACAACGACGAACAACGGCAAGCTACTGCAGATAGAGGAGGAGTGGGCTGCCCGGAAAAAGAAGTTCGGGAAAGCCTCCTCTAGCCGCGGTGGCGATGGCAAGCGCCACGGCAAGGCTTCTTCGGAGAAGAAGAAGGTCGACCCCAACGCTTGCCAGCGCTGCGGGAAGATGGGCCATTGGGCAAAGGAGTGCCCAAATCGCAAGCAGAAGAAGGCTGAGGCTCATCTGGCGTAGGCTGATAATGATGATGAGGCCATTCTCCTGATGGCGACATTATGTGCACTGCACGACATTGAGGCCAAAGAGAAGGGAGAGAGAATGGCGATGGAAGGGCCTGGGAAGGCTCTGAAGGCTGTCCATCTCGACTAACCGCGTGCTCATGTTCACCTTGGACGTGTGGGGGACGGACAGGAGCAGCATTGGTACCTGGACTCCGGCGCCAGCAACCACATGACGGGCTCTAAGGAAGCCTTCTTCGAGCTCGATGGCAACGTGACCAGCATGGTGAAGTTTAGTGACGGCTCAAGGGTGGCGATCCGAGGACGCAACACCATTATCTTTAGGTGCCAGAACGATGAGCACAGTGCATTAACGGATATGTACTATATCCCATAGCTGCGTTCAAACATCATAAGCATTGGCCAGCTGGATGAGCGTGGCAGCGAGGTACTGATCAAGGACGGCATCCTCAAGATCAGGGACCTAGAGCAGCGCCTTCTTGCCAAGGTGAGGAGGTCCTAAAATTGGCTGTACCTGCTCGACTTGAAGGTAGAGCAGCCGGTGTGCCTGGCAGCACGGCACACCGAGGAGCCATGGCTGTGGCATGTCTGGTTCGACCATCTCAGCATCGACGCGCTTGGTCGGCTGGAGAAGATGGTCCGAGGGCTGCTCCACATCAAGCACGGAGGCGAGCTATGTGACAGCTGCCTAGCCGGGAAGCAGAGGAGGCTGTCGTTCCCAAAGGCGGCCAAGTATCGCGCGGTGAATGCTCTCGAGCTCGTCCACGGTGATCTCTGTGGGCTAATCACGCCAGCCACAAATGGTGGTCGGCGGTACTTCCTCCTGCTCGTGGATGATTACAGTCGCTATATGTGGCTGCAACTCCTGACGAGCAAGGACGAGGCAGCGGAGGCGATCAAGAAGTTCAAGGTGCACGGAGGCTGAGAGCGGCAATAAGTTGCGCATGCTGAAGACTGATCGCGGCGGCAAATTCACTTCGGTGGAGTTCATTGCGCGATCACTGATCGGATCGGTGTGGTGCGACACCACACGCCATTTATACTCGCCATAGCAGAATGGCATGGTGGAGCGACGAAACCAGACGGTGGTCGGCATGGCTCGATCCATGATGAAGGCCAAGAGCATGCCGGCATGGTTCTGGGGTGAGGTGGTGACCACGGCGGTGTTCATCCTCAATTGCGCGCCCACTAAGGCCCTAAAGGGCAAGATGCCGTTCAAGGCTTGGCATGGACGCATGCCGAATGTGTCCTTCCTCAGAACATTTGGCTGCGTCGTCCATGTGAGGAACACCAAGCCTCACCTCGGCAAGCTCGAAGACAGGAGCACACCGATGGTGCTCCTGGGCTACACGGCGGGTACCAAGGCGTACTAGCTTTATGACCCACGCGGAGGCAAGGTGCTTGTCTCGCTCGACGTCATGTTCGATGAGAAGGCGGCCTAGGACTGGGACAGTCTGGGAATAGGGGAAGCTGGCGGCTTCACCAGCACCTTCGTCGTTGAGCACTTGGTCATCCACGGTGGTGGAGATGCTGGAGAGGAGGTGTCGACCACTCCAGCAACGGAGCCAAGCACTCCGAAAGGGGTGCTGAGCACTCCAGAAGTGGTGTCGAGCGGTCCTACAGTGGTGCAGATCACTCCAGGATGGGTGCCGAACGCTCCCGTAGCGGAGCCGAGCGGTCTTGCAGTGGTGCCGACCACTCCAAGACTAGTGCCGAGCACTCCTGCAGTGGTGCCAACCACTCCAGGAGTGGTGACGAGCGGTCCAGGAGTAGAGCCGAGCACTACAGCCAGGGTGCCGAGCACTCTAGGTGTTGTGCCGATCACTCCGGTGGAATAGGGAACTCCATCGACACCGATCGAGTTCGCCTCACCTCCAAGCGACATCACTGAGTTCGTGGATGCCTTCCACAATGGTGAGGAGGTGCAGTTCTGTAGGCTGGACAACATCATCGGTGGCACAGAGCCCTCAGGTCTGGCGGGTTGGCTGCTCAATGACCCAGAGCTGCTTCTCGTTAGTGCAGAGGAACCACCCACGTTCGCGCTGCATGAGCGCGATGAAAATTGGCGACGGGCGATGCTAGAGGAGATGAAGGCGATCGAGGAAAACAAGACTTGGGAGCTCATCGATCCACCTCCAGGATGTCGTCCGATCGGCCTAAAGTGGGTGTACAAGGTCAAGCGGGACGAGCACGGCGCCATTGTCCAGCACAAGGTGCGCCTTGTCACCCGAGGCTTTGTCTAGCACAAGGGCATCGACTTCAAGGAAGTCTTTACGCCGGTAGCGCGCATGGAGTCTATCCGACTGCTGCTGGCTTTGGCAGCAGCGAAGGACTGGCGCGCCCATCACCTGGATGTAAAATCGGCCTTCCTCAATGGCAAGCTGGCGGAGACGGTCTTCGTCAGGCAACCTCTGGGATTCGCCGTCAAGGGAGCGGAGCACAGGGTGCTCTGACTGCGCAAGGCGCTCTATAGGCTACGGCAGGCCCCACAAGCATGGAACGCCAAGCTTGACACCACGCTGGGCGAGCTTGGGTTCACACGGTGCATAACCGAAAGCGCGCTCTACATGCGGCGATGGGGAAGGAGGAGCTCGTCGTCGGCGTGTATGTGGATGATTTGATCGTCACTAGCGGCGTGTAGAGGACATCGGCGGCTTCAAGAGTGAGATGGCGGCTCGTTTTCAAATGAGCGATCTCGGCGTGCTCTCCTACTACCTCGGCATCGAGGTGAAACAAGGAAGGAGGCGCTCATGCTTGGTCGAGGCGCGACGCCTCAAAGCTGTTGGGCGGCGGCATGGCTGAGTGCAAGCCATGTGTGACTCGATGGAGGAGCGGTGAAAGGCGACGAAGGCTAGTACCACGGCGAAGGTAGATGCAACACTCTACCGGAGCATCATCGACGGTCTGTGCTACCTAGTCCACATGAGGCCGGACATTGCGTTCGTCATGGGCTACGTTAGCCACTTCATGGAGGATCCCCGAGAGGATCATTGGGTTGCAGTGAAGCCGCTGCTGCGCTACGTCAAGAGGACGGTGGATCATGGGATTGTCTTCTCCAAGACC